TTCATCGCAAATATGACATATTATAAACCACGGACCACCACCACGAGACCACCACCACGAGACCACCACCACAAGACCACCACCACGAGACCACCACCACAAGACCACCACCACGAGATCACCACCACGACCACCAACACAACCACCCGCACGGACCCCCGCCACGGACCACCACCACGGACCAACCACCACGGACCACCGCCGCGGACCACCACCACGGGACCACCACCACGGGACCACCACCACGGGACCACCACCACGAGACAACCACCACGGGACCACCACCACGGAACCACCACCACGAGACCACCACCGCGGACCACCGCCACGGACCACCGCCACCCGGCCACCACCATGGGACCACCACCACGGGACCACCACGACGGCCACCAGGGACCACCACCACCACCACCACGGACACCGCCACCCCCACGACAGACCACCACTACCAAAGGAGCACCACCACCACGGGACCACCACCACGCTGTGGGACCACCACGACGAACCACCACGGGACCACGGACCACCACCACGGCCATTCGGGAAAACCCCCCAAAATCCCAGCCTTTCAGCCCCAACCCCTCACCACCCCAAAACCACCCACCCCCCGAACCCAAACCATTTCAGCAAAAGCAAAAAACAAACCCCCCCAAAACACGACAAAACTCCGGACACAAACCCTATACAATTTCTATTAAACCCCAAAACCCTACACCGTAAAGCGTAAAACCCTGAACCCGGGGGATCCCGAAAATTCCCGGAATTTTAAATTCCTTGGATTTTTCGAGAGCTGTTGCTGATATGTGATCGTGAGGCCGAACCCCCTTGAACAGCTGGCGGGCGGCGACCGTCATCGGAACTACCCTGGACCAAGAGATTTCCTTGAAGATTTCCTTGAAGGTGAAGGGGCACCCACGTCATCACTGTTGCGCTGGAACCTTAAAATCCAACCCGGCAAGCCCAAACCTCAATCCGGACAATTCCTAAAATTCCGGGAATTTTCAGCTCCGGGTGATTCCCAAAATTCCCAGGATTTTTAGACAAAAAGTGTTAAAATTCCCGGAATTTTCAGGATCCCCCTGCAAGGCCCTCTCAAGCAGCCAAAATAGACCGGAAGAGGAGGCGGGGCATCCGACAGGGCGGCCGCAGAGCGAAAATAGGGGTCGAGCCCGTAGCCTTTTATGGGGATATTTTTCATAATTTAATGATAATAACCAAATATTCGGAACCTCGAATAGAAATTTCTTGAGATTCCTAATTTCATATCATTTCAATTATATGAATCATATTTACTTGATATTTTTGAAAATATGAATCCTTTACTCCGATAAGAAGAATATATCAATCAATATGGGGAATTTTCATTGAGATCAGAAAGAGATCGTGATTTTGTTCATATCTGGCTAAAAAATCAATTCTGAGGCCAATTTATCTATTCTTCAGATTTCGTATAATATATCTTTGTATCGGAAATATTCCAATGATAAGAATCAATAGAATTATATATAATATATGATTTTGGGAATTATAAGAATGGATAAATTTGGATTGAAGATGACATTATAATCAAGGAAAATATTGATATTATTATATTTTTTTATCTGAACCCTAAACACTAAACCCTAAGCCCTAAACCCTAAGGTGCCTTCGGGAATTAAGTGGCGTTCTTCTTCACCTGGAAACACCCCAAAGCGAAAGACAGCGCCTGTTCGAGGGGATGAACTATGAGCTTGCAAGCGACAATGTGGCGAACAGAGCTTAGGGTTTTTGGGGTCTAAGGCTTACGGTGCAAAAGCTGCGACATACGAAAAAAAGGGACCGCTCTCCCCCAGAGAGTAGCATCCCTTTTATGAATAGGACCCCAAGAAGGTACCCTAATTTCGGTCACCCCCATAGAGTACCCCTGATGATCGCGCATGCCCTTAGGAAGGACCTTGCTTTCTCGCGACGCACAACTCAGCCGTCTGATCTTTATCCAGTTCCGCGCCCATCAGCAAGCCGACTGGACACTGCTGGTGGCTGGGTCAAGATGAATGGGGTTTTAGGGTTCAGGTTTCAGGGTTTAGGGTTATGGCTCGTGTTCAAAAAGAAATCCTTTCGGCTTAGGGCCTTCGGGTTATCTATTGAGGCTTCCTCACCCAAACCCTAGATCATTAACCACAACAATGCTTCGAAACTCAAGCATGCCCTTGTTTCCCAAAGACACAAGCCTCATCAGAGTGTTCACCCCTAAAACTTTCTCTGGCTTCACAAGGCACTCATTCTCTACGGGCTCAGCCAGTCTGGCGGTGTCATTCCCTAATTTAGGGAACCCTAAACCCTATAAACCCTGAACACCCTATAAACCCTATAAACCCTATAAACCCGAAATGCAGCACAAACACAGCATACACTACCCTAAGCCCTCAGCTAAACCCTAAACCCAAAACCCTAAACCCTGAACCCTAAACCCTAAACCCTAAACCCTAAACCCTAAACCCTAAACCCTAAACCCTAAACCCTAAACCCTAAACCCTAAACCCTAAACCCTGAACCCGAAACCCTAAACCCTGAGCCCTTAACCCTAAACCCTGGCGGCAGCACTGTCGCGGTCAACCAGGCCGTTCGAAAGACACATCCAAATGCTCAAGGCTGGCACCTCCATGGCTTTTCAAAGAGGGTTTCGGGTTTAGGGTTTAGGGTTTGGGGTTTAGGGTTTAGGGTTGAGGGCTAGATTCACGCCACTATGGATTCTAGCCCGTGCTGTAGCAGGGCTGTGGTTAGACTGCCCCCGAGCGATGCGTGAAGCACTTCTCTCCACGCACCTCTCCTGCTTCTCTCTCCCCTCCCTTCCCCGGCCCCCTCCCCCTCTCCCATTGCTCTTCTGCTATGCCGGTCTGGCCTTCACTCCAAACACCACCACCCTCCACGCACCACCACGTACAACCCCATATCACCACACATCATCACACATCATCACCACCACCAACCACCACCACCAACCACCACCACCAACCACCACCACCATCTTAGACCACCAGACAGCACTTCCACAGACCACCACGACACAGCCATCACACACCACCGCACACCACCATACACACCACCCTACACGACCATCGCCACCACACACCACCACACACCACCACACACCACCACACACCACCACACACCACCACACACCACCACACACCACCACACACCACCACACACCCCCACACACCCCCACACACCACCACAACCGCCACACACCACCACACACCACTACCCACGCCACCACACACCACCACACGCTACCACCACTCTACACTCCACACTTGATCCCTCTTGCCTTCGTTGGAGCCCAGTCTAACCATATTCCTATTATAAGAAGGGTACCCTTGTTGGGGTGGGTCACTTTATGAGGAGACCTTGAACCCAAACAATGGCAACAAAGGGCACCGTTTGGGCTGCCAAGTCTTTCGGAACCACCCTAAACCCTAAACCCTAAACCCCTAAACCCCTAAACCCCTAAACCCTTAAACCCCTAAACCCCTAAACCCCTAAACCCCTAAACCCCTAAACCCCTAAACCCCTAAACACCTAAACCCCTAAACCCCTAAACCCCTAAACCCCTAAACCCCTAAACCCCTAAACCCCTAAACCCCTAAACCCCTAAACCCCTAAACCCCTAAACCCCTAAACCCCTAAACCCCTAAACCCCTAAACCCCTAAACCCCTAAACGCCTAAACCCCTAAACCCCTAAACCCCTAAACCCCTAAACCCCTAAACCCCTAAACCCCTAAACCCCTAAACCCCTAAACCCCTAAACCCCTAAACCCCTAAACCCCTAAACCCCTAAACCCCTAAACCCCTAAACCCCTAAACCCCTGAACCCCTAAGCCCCTAAACCCCTAAACCCCAAACCCTAAACCCTGAACCCTGAAGGATTGAATTTTGGGTTTAGGGTTTATAGGGCTTTTAGGGTGTTGAGGGTTGAGGCTTTGGCATGTGCACTTCCTTTCTCAGATATTCGGGAGGGAATGTTCCATCGATTGTTTAGGGTTTCCCCCCCAAACAAGGGACCCCGAATTTACGGATTTGCCCAATGCCTTTGACTCTCGGTTTCGTCCTGAGCCCGGCCCCAACGTCTAAAACCCTAATGGGCATCGCGCTCTGTTTTAGGGCCCCTTTTGAGTGCCCCTAAACCCTAAACCCTAAATCCTAAATTCAAGAGCAAAAGGGTCACTACCCTAAATCTTAAATTCAAGACCATATTCCGGGAATGATCATCTCATTCTCCACTCCCCTGGCCCTGTACTTAAGCCTCGAAAGTCGCCTGGAATCCTGACACGCCCCAAGAGCCCCTAAGAGCCCCCAAACACCCCAAAAACCCTAATTAAACCCTAATTAAACCCTAATTAAAGCCTAAGAGACCCCCCCAAAACCCCCTAAAAACCCGAACAAAAAGCTCCCAAAGCCACAGAGAAACAGTCTGCCGCTTGCCTTCTCCTCGTCCTTCTGCAGCGTGAACTCCTCCACTTCTCCGCAACGGGGAAGGGCCTTGGAGCCCACGTGGATGGGGCTTACTTGGGGTTTAGGGCCCGAAACCCGAAACCCTAAACCCTAAACCCTCTAGTTTAGGGCTTACTTGGGGTGAGGGCCCAACAGCAGCATGCACTTGGACGAGTCCATCGCTTTTCGAGCCTCGGCCTCAAAACTCCCTACACTCTACAGGTTGACCCGAAGCAGGGGGGGCCTGGTCTGCGGGAAAGCCCGCTTCAAACACGAGGGGGGCGGAGGGCCGCTAGCCCTCCGCCCCTCAGCAGGATCCCCTGCGAGCGACCTCGATAGCTTCAGCCACAAAAAGTCAAGTTCTGTGCGCTCTTCAAACTGTAGTCTTGCGTCAAGCAGGCCCGCGCAGGAGATGTGATCCGAACTCATTCGGACTGTGAAAAGATGACGCTATTGCATACTATCAGTATTATTATGATGATCATTATTATTTATATAATGGTATATACTATTATGATACTGTTACTTAAGGGTTGTCCTGGAACTCGGGCTGTTCCCGCAGGTAGGCAGCAAAACACTTGCCCAGCGTCACGAAGAGCTTGTTGATCGACAAACAGGAATTCATGTGCGTTTTGGAAGAGGGATCTGCACATAACCACATGGGGTGTTCAACACCATTGTCTTTGCGGACGTTGACCTCGACATAGCCAGCTAGCTGGTACCATGGATTCCACGCCTGTAGGCGCACCACAATGACACCGTGCGCAGCCGATTCGCTACGAGGCTTGTGTCCTTCCACATCATAGGGGTGTGTGGTGTGAGAGATCAAGGTGCAATATCCACCCATGCCCATTTGTAACCCTGCGACTGTCTTACTTTCTCGGCCCGGGGGTGGGAACTGGTGATGACCAGTAAAGGGCCAGGCGTCCACAATGTGTGCATTGATGTCCCCGATCTTCGCGTTGCACACCAGCCTGCGCATTGCCAGGAATGCGAGGTACTGGTCTTTAAGATTTGAGTTTCCATCGCCATCAACGTCGAGTGGCTCGGACCTTTGATTGATGTAGACTTCCTTCAGCGTGTAGATGAATGGATTGCATAGGAGCCACTTGTACAAAGGAATGATGGTCACCATAAGCGGAACCGCAATCATCACCTCGCTAATGCCCTGCCTGTGCACAGCTCCTGCGATCGCGCAAAAAATGTCTGCGAAACTCCACATGCAGCCGTGCTTCTCCGCCAACTTGTCAGCGGGCGAGCGCAGTCCGACGGATGAGTCTCCGGGCCGACCCATGTAAGGCCAGAGGGTCCGCAAGGACTGCGCTGTCGACTGCCAACGAAAGAGGCCGACTGGAGCCGAGAAGATGAAAAAAACGAGGTTCACGACCACAGCCCAGACCACTGCCAGGACCATTGAGGGCGTCGACAGCACCATTACCAGCGCACAAATTGCCCAGAAGCCTGCCCCTCTCTCAAAGGCTCGAACGATCCCAGGTTGAAAGTACTGAAAGAGTGCCGTTAAAACCAGCGGCGCCAATGACAGCAGCATTGTTGCCACGAGCACCACAACCGTGAAAGGGGCAAGCGGAACGATCACCACAAATCCGAACCAATCAGCGCAGGAGAGTCGTTCAGGAACATCCACATGTGTCATGAGCTTTTTCATTTCCTCCTCGGTCGGGGGTGCCACCTTCTCCCTCATCTTCAGTGGCGTCGCTGGTGTCGTCATTGCAGCGTCTTGGACGAGCTACTGTTGACAGAATAGAGTACACCAACGCAAAAGTGAACAGTGCGCTGAAGCAGCCCCTAACATGCCACTAACATACTTCTGAACCCCGCGTTTTCTGCGGCATCTCTAAGACGACGCATGCTGCGTCTACCCCGAGCCTGACGCATAGCACAAGCCAGGCAATGATACAGCTCTTGAAACAACAGGCGAGACATCAATTCTGACGCTCCGACCCCTGAACCCTACAGACGCTAGACTCTATCTACAAATCCTAAAGCCAAAAACACAAGCCCTCAACCCTGAACTACAAACCCGTTTAAACCTAAACCCTAAACCTGCTACTTTCAGTTTTGTCTCAGACCTATGGGAGTAACCCTCTGACAACCATCTGGGCCCCTGGGCCCCAAAACACCACCCTTACACCCCAAGCCCGAAATTCCCCCCCCCCCCCCCCCCCCCCGAACTCTTATTATTGTGAATTATCATTACCCTATACCCTAAACCCTAAACTCTAAACCCTAAACCCTATAACCCTAATTTTATAGCTAATGGTGAATATTAGTGATGATTGCGATTCCCCAACTCACGGGACCCGACTTCGTGGGGTTCGAGATGTCGCTGAGGTGGAGCAAGACGGTCCTGCTGTGTTGTCTCCGATAAGGGAATGAGAAGGGTTTAGGGTTTAGAGTTTACAGGGTACAATTTCTCAGGTTTTGCAGAGTTTATAGGGGCTCAGTTAGTGTAATTCTAGGGGGTTTTGTGCACGGCTAAGGTCTTGAGGGCAGTCATATGGGGGCATTTCAGTTTCGGGTTTTTACGGGAGCTGTGATCACCAGAGAATCCCCTGGAAATCCGAAGCCCCAGGCTTCTAAAACCCTGAGGCTCGACGACCCAAAATCCGAACCCTCTAATAACACAGTAATATTATTGCATCTAATAATAACAAGAAGAAGAACAATAATAGTACAGTATAATCAGATGAAAGTCCTCAAGCTCTTCTTCATATCGGGTGTCTTAAAGTACTCGAGGAGCTCATTGGGAGGGAACTCGTCCACAGACATGTGCCTCAATTCCCTGCTCTCGGAACCCTAAACCCTAAAATAAACCCTAAACCCGAAACCCTAAACCATAAACCCTAAACCCTAAGCCCTAAGTGCTTTTTACTCAAACTGCATTCTATGTCCGGGGCGTACCGCTCCAGCAAAAGAATCGATCATGGTATCTCCAGGCGCAATCAGGGTTTAGGGTTTAGGGTCTCAGTTTTAAAGCTTAGGGGGTTTTAAGACCTTAGTGGCCCAGAAACCATATTATAATAAGGGCACCCTTGTTTTGGTTGGTTACCCTTGTTCTGGTTGGTTGCTTTATAATTCAGGGAACCCCCTAAACCCTAAACCCTAAACCCTAAACCCTAAACCCTAAACCCTAAACCACTGGGCTACCAAGAGATATGCTTGCAAGAGCACGTGCAAGGTCTAGGCCATCATGCCAGGGTCGCACCATTCGCAACCGAAGCTTTAGGGTTTAACCGTTTAGGGTTTTAAGGGTTAAGGGTTTAGGGTTTAGGGTTTTTAAGGGTTAGGGTTTAGGGATTAGGGTTTTTAGGGCTTGTTTTGCTCATGGTATGTCGTGATCGGTGCAAGGGCGCTTGCGACCTGACTTATCCGATGGCACACTTCAGCAACTTGTGCTACAAAACCGAGCGTCTTAAGCCTCAAACCCATGTAAGGGTTTACGAAAAGGGGGGGGAGCCCTAATATCGACCCCCAAATAGTAGGGTACCCCTACTGTCGGAAACCCCCCCCTTCTAGGTAAGGCTGAATCAGTTTAGTACTGGGACAGTACACCCCCGATGCCAGCAGCTCCTCGATGACATCAATCTTGCTCCCGCGGATACCGCGACTCTCCACGCGGCCGTCGCCCAAGTCAGCATCCATGACTGGTCTCACTTCACAAGCAGTAATTGCACTGGCCTAGCTTGATCTGACCGGGCTGGGCAAGAAAAGAGTCGGAATAGCTGGGCCATACGGGGGTCGGAAGAATTCTTAATAGTATTCCCTTATGGCATCTATTTAACTATACTATGATCACCGCCAAAAGCATATTCCAAATATTAAGGCCACAATATTACTTGGAAATTTGGGCCGAGGATCGTTTGCTGTCCTTGTTGAAACAACTTGGAGGTTCATGGTACTTAGTAGCTAATTATAACTGTACTTATAACCCACTTGCAAGCCGCCTAAGTGCCCTAAGATGGTTATAAGCACAGTTATATGTACAGTTCTAAGTGGTTACTACGTACCATGAACCTCCAAGAATTGGGATTTTTGCCAAAACACCGCATGCTACGGATTCAGCAAAGTAAGGGCTGCTGAGCTGCGACACATGTAGACGTCGCAATGAAGGCTGCCCTAAACCCTAAACCCTAAATTAGCTAAAACCCTAAACCCTAAACCCTAAACCCTAAACCCTAAACCCTAAACCCTAAACCCTAAACCCTGGCAAACATTACGCTCAGCCCAGTACGCCTGAAGGCTGGCATCGTGGTCGGGGGGAAGGACGGGCCTGAAAAGCTGAGCTACCTGGAGGTTCATGGTACTTAAGAAGTAGTCCCTAAACCCTAAACCCCAAACCCTAAACCCTAAACCCTAAACCCTAAACCCTATAACTGTACTTCTAACCCACTTATAAGCCCCTTAAGTGCCCCAATATGGTTATAAGTACAGTTATAAGTACAGTTAGAACTAGTTACGAAGTGCCATGAACCTCCAAGTACTATTTGCTTCAGAACCCCAAAACAAAAGACTCTTCCTCATCAGGGTTTATATAGGGATTATGATCTTGTGTTAGTAATTCACCTTGTTTTTTGCGGGGGGTGGGGGGGGTTCTTCAGCAAAAAAGGAGTACTTCCCTCAGTACATGAAACTGAAAATCTTGCATTTGCTTGGCGGGGCTGGGAACGAAGGGAATAGAACCAAAGAGGAAGGGGAGAAGGGCACTTTGCATAAACCCTAAACCCTAAACCCTAAACCCTAAACCCTAAACCCTAAACCCTAAACCCTAAACCCTAAACCCTAAACCCCAAACCCCACACCCGAAACCTTAAACCCTAAACCCTATACCTTAACTTGACTGAGAAATGGGGTTGCTCTTGCGAGGAGCTCCGCTGCAATCATGAGGCTTCCATCATCGTCTATTGCTAGTAGACTCAGGGCACTAAGGTTAGGGTTTAGGGTTTAGGGTTTAGGGTTTAGGGTTTAGGGTTTAGGGTTTAGGGTTTAGGGTTTAGGGTTTAGGGTTTAGGGTTTAGGGTTTAGGGTTTAGGGTTTAGGGTTTAGGGTTTAGGGCTAAGACTACGGTCCCGAATGAAGGTGCACATGTAGCAAATTGGCAGCTCAAGGCTTAGGGGGTTTAAACTGGATCCAGTTTGGGTTTTAGGGTTTAGGGCCCTAAGCCCTATGCACCCTATAAGCCCTACACCCTGAACCCTAAACCATGAACCCTGAACCCTAAACCCTAAGCGCCAGCGTACAGAATCCATCAGGAGATCGCCACGATCCTACAAGTGGCTCAACGCACTTTTTGCCGGGGCCGGATGAAGCACTGGGCGTGGTCCAGCTGTTGCCGGGTGACGGTCGGCCACCGGAGCCTGGCGTTTCCAAAGTACCCCCGAAGCGTTGACTCTGCCCAGGGTTGTCTTGAATGCAGTGGGTTTAGGGTTTAGGGTTTAGGGTTTAGGGTTTAGGGTTCTTGAACGCAGGGGGTGATGGATGATGAATTGTATCGATTGCGCTGCCCGCCCCCGCCCGCAGAAGGCAAAACAGGTTTCTCTTGGTACCCCGGTCACCATGTTATACATAAGGGCACCCCTTTTTGGTTGGTTAATTTTCTGAGGGAACCCTAAACCAAAAAAAGTATTGTAATAAGGGCACCCCTTTTTGGTTGGTTAATTTCTAAGGGAACCTTAAACCAAAAAAAAAGAGGGAAAAAGGGTACCACTGGGCTACGAAGTTCTCGCCGAGCAACGGAAGCCGACCGCCACGCTGCGGCCACACCTCATCCAAGCAGCTGCCGCAACGCCAAATGCAACTCAAGATTGAAAGTCTGTGTTGCGCAGAATTCGGCTTGGGGTTTGGGGGTTTCGGGGGCAGGGTTTGGGGTTTGGGGTTTAGGGTTTAATTAGGGTTTAGACACTCTCACCTGAGATCATACACCCACGCAGGTGCGACTGGAATCTCGCAGAACGGCCCCAAGCACACACAAAATCAAAAACCCTAAGCCCGAAGCCCTAAGCCCTAAACCCTAGACCCTTATTGAACCCTATTGCCAGGCCAAACGACGATCTTCTCGGGGATGCAGGCGGAAACATGCCCAAATGTTGTCCCAGAGTCTCCCGCCATCGGAGTCCTGCGTCTGAGATTCGGGCACTTTGACAGATGCTCCCTGTGGTTTAGGGTTTAGGGCTTAGGAATTAGGAATTAGGGCTTAGGAATTAGGGTTTAGGGCTTAGGGAACTCAAGGTTAGCAGAGTTCCAAACCTCACAGACAACTCAACAGGACACAGATCAAGCATTTGGACAGCTTGGTGTTGTTCCCGCAGCTCGCGCCAAACAATAAGTACTCCCTAAATCGCAGGGATAAGTTGGGCAGCCTGGCGCAAGCAAAACTGCAGCTTGCAAGCTAAACCCTAAACCCTAAACCCTAAACCCTAAACCCTAAACCCTAAACCCTAAACCCTAAACCCTAAACCCTAAACCCTAAACCCTAAACCCTAAACCCTAAACCCTAAACCCTAAACTCCACATCACAGCTGTGATGTGACAAAAAGTTCTTCGCGCAGCAGCGAGCTGGCTAGGATGTCGGTCCGGACGGTGGCTGCCAAAAACTAAACCCTAAACCTCAAACCCCAAACCCCAAACCCCAAACCCTAAACCCTAAACCTAAACCCTGAACCCTAAACCTCCAAACCCATTAACCCTAGAATCCGACGGACCTCCGGAACGCTTCCCCTCCCCACTCGGTTCGGCTCACAAGGGCAAGCGACGAAGAGCAGACGCAGCACTTTTGCTGTCTAGAAGGTTGAAGTTCAACAACGGTGAGTGCAGTTTAGGGTTTCGGGTTTGGGGTTTAGGGGTTAGGAGACACGCAACAAAACATCTGGTGCCGACGCTCTTGTCGAACTACTTCCCTTGTGCACGATGCCAGAATAGCGGCGACAAGACTGAATTTGCAGTCATGTCAGAAGCCCCCATCTACGATCTGTACAAGCCCAACACCTAAACCCTAAACCCTAAACCCTAAACCCTACACGCTAAACACCTAACCCCCAAGCAAGTCAGAGTCAGCCGTCCAAGCTCCAGTCAGCTCGGATGTACAGCATGGCATGAACTTTTTGTGGAATGAAGCTCTCTGTTCTCTGAAGACCCCACTCTAAACCCTAAACCCTAAACCCGAAACCCTCATCCAGGTATCAGGAGCCGTGGTGGCCATGTGAATACCAGGATGGGCCATTAGGCCCTATAATCCCCATAATTAACCCTATCAAGGGCCTTCCTTAAGAAGTATAGGGTAGAATAGCCCGTCCTGGTAGGTGGACTGTCTGAGTGACATATACCAGCCACCGGCCAGACATCGCCAACATTCACAAGACGATGGATTGACAATGCTAAGATGCAAAAATGTGCTTTCGACAATGATCGAGTGCCAGTGACGCCTTGCCAGGAACCATCCAGAGCCCTGAAGCCTACTACCTATAGGCCTCCAGTGTCCCGTGATGGTGCCCATATGTCCGTGTAGCATCATGATAATAATGTACAGCAAGAATACTCACATAGTGATAATGATAAGACTATAATTCCACCCATCATAGCCACAGTGATGCCTATACCTTTCACGTTGGGGTTGCGACACGCCCAGGCCATCGAGCATTCATCCAAAAGCCGTGACAACGCCGAACAAGTCGGTCGCAGTCAGCAAGGAAGAGAGGTCGTTGCACAAAGTTTGTGGACAAAATCTCGCTATGCATGCGTATCTTGAAACATGTCAGGCTTAGCCCGGCTGACCTCACGGATACAGCAGGAAGATTGCCAAGCAAGTCCTTACATCTTCTTCGACTCACATTGTGATGCTCATGATGGGGCGACATGGGGCGTCAAGGGATGGGAGGGGTGCAAACTATCCGACCTCTGGAAATCTCTTTTGACCTGGTTCTGGTTTTGCACTCGCTCTGCCGAGGCTCTGAGGGTCCTTGCAATGGTCGGAACGGCCTGCCTCCCCACCCCGGACTAATCGCTCCACACATCGGGCATCATGGGCTCCTTAGGCCTCACAGCACGACTTTTTGGCCATGCGACGGCGTCGTTGGGGGTTCTTTCGGGGAGGTGTAGCCACTGTGGGCCCCATATCCACCTTAGTAGCCCAGTCACCATCTTACGATAAGGGGCACCCCTTTCTTTGGTTGATTACTTTAAAAGGGAGCCCAGAACCAAAAAAAGGGTACAAAGGGTACCACTGGGCTACCAAGCCACGGCAGGCATCATGGTGCGAGCCTTTCGCAAGGCAGCGGTGCCGGCGCGCTGGGCGCTCACGATTTCCGCCGGCGTGTCCCATGTTGGGCCAGATGGCCACATGCTCGGCTCTGTCCCCAGCGGCATCGGATCCACTACCTTACGGACGACATGAGCCTTAAAAGGGCTTATGGCTCCTATACCTTAATGGGGATTCTAGTATATAATGGCCCCAATTTTCGGGTTCATTTGGTCCCCAAGCTGCTGGACGGACATCTCCTCCCATCATCTCGTCCGGGGAGCTTTCAGGCACCAAAAAGGCGAGGGGCGTGGGCAATAGGCTGCCCCAAACTGGGGGGCCTTGCCACGGACCCAGAGCCACGAAGGCGGATGGTAACTCTGCTTCGTCGTCGGTATCCGGCCAAACCACAGGCGTCTCGGAAGCCTGGACACCAGTGCTGGAGTCAAGCTGGAAGTTGGCATGGTCGGCGTCGCTGGGCTCGAAGGGTGTGTAGCCGGAGAAACTTCTCGAGCGGCGGAGAGTCTGCCGGGAGGGACATGTGTCGTGGGATGCGTCATCGAGGGTGATGAACACCGGCGGCAAGCGCGCCAGACGCGGCTGCACGAAAGCCATCATTGTTACGAGCAGAGCCGCTATGATGCAAATCGGCTTTGGGCCAATAAATCTCATGCCACAGAATGAGTTGTGTCCAACTGCCACCTCATAAAAGTTTAGACAACAATCTGCGTCTCTGCAAGATGCAGAAGCAGAGTGCCGCTTGATCTTGCGAGTCTTCAGGCGTTCAGCGATGCAGCAATGCAGAGCCTTTAACCGAACAAGAATGATAAAAGCCTTGTATACCCCAAATAGAATAACATCGCCTTAAAGGGACCCCCAGAAAGGGTACCCCTATGTTCTTCAAGCATTTGAAGGAATTGCAGTCTGTGGCTTAGTTTAGAGTCTGGCGCATTCCCGCTGGCCATCTCTTGAATCGAAGCTCGGATGAAGAATTTCATCTGACTGCTGAACGCTTTGTGTTGTTTGGTTGGTACAATTGGGCATGGGACTACGTGCCTTAGGACTTTTTGCAAGAGGCAAGAGCTTCTGAACCACACCCTAAACTCTAAGGGTATATAGTTCCATGGTCCCTTAGTACGGGTTTTTCCATTGGCTGCACTTGTATACCTCTTCTAGGGCCCTCACATCAGAACCCTTTAAAGGAGGTAAGGGACCACATTGAGGGCCCATGACACTACCTTTAGATAAACCCTAAGCCTTGGGATGACAGTCCTGTTTAGGGTTTAGGGTTTAGGGTTTAGGGTTTAGGGTTTAGGGTTTAGGGTTTAGGGTTTGGGGTCATTAACAGGGATTCTTGTACTCCCCATTCAAAGCCTATTACGGACTGTTCGTATAAGGGGAACATCCCCAACTGACACCCTGCGCAGAGATTATGACGGGTCGGGACCAGGCCTGAACCCTTAAACCCTTAACCCTAAACCCTAAACCCCACAACCCTAAACCCAAAACCCAAAACCCAAACCCCAAACCCTGGCCCTAGCAGCAGCCCTGACCATCCTTACACCGTATGTAAGACGTGGGCGGACCCCCACCTCCCCCCCCAACCCCAAGATCTGGCACCGGGGGGGGGGGGGGGGGGGGGGGTTCTGCTCCAGATTAGGCTACGGGCTTTTTCCCAAGTAGGGGTCCCCAAATATACCCCAAACAGTAGGTTCCCCATTCTCCATGTCCGATTTGAGGTTTTAGGGTTTAGGGCTTCGCGCCTCCAAGCAGCTCGATCTCGAAGCTTGTGCAGTCGTCGGGTGCCGTGTTTTGACCGGAAGATACTGATAGCAAACCACGAAGTGAAGGCTCTCAGCCACATGGGGGGCACCTGAATGGCTCAACGTCAACAGCAAACGCAGCCCAGTGACAGAGACACATGAAGAAGCAGTCAATTCAGGGAATACTATCAGTCATTAAACCCTAAACCCTAAACACTAAACCCTAAACCCTAAACCCTAAACCCTAAACCCTAAACCCTAAACCCTAAACCCTAAATTAAACCCTAAAACCTCTCAGGCGGGCTTGCCTCCGAAATGCATTCCCAGGCAGCCGCCGAGGTGGGGGCAGCGACTGCACAGGGCCATGTGGCTTGCACCAAGGAACACAAACAACATCTCGAAGGTGCTTGTATATGTGTATATATATATATGTATAATGTACAATATCTCTCGCTATATATATATATATATATATGTATATTGATATTTAGACTTATACTTGAGTTAAGCCGAGGCTTTAACTACCGCCAAAGGACAAAAAGTCTCTCCCAAGCGCGATCCCGGCTGCGTCTCTGCTCATGTGCCCTGTGGAGGTTCATGGTTCTTAGGAACTAAGTAAGCCCCCCTTAAGTGCCCTAATATGGTTATAAGTACAGTTCTAAGTACAGCCCTAAACCCTAAACCCTAAACCCTATAATTAGTTGCTAAGTACCATGAACCTCCAAGTGCAGTCTGCAGCTCCTCAGACCCTCCGAGACTTCGCCAGCGCGACTCCGAAACCGAGCCCACCGTCGGTCTTCAGCTTGAAATACTGCTCCAGGCGGCCTGGCCTGCAGGGTTTAGGGTTTAGGGTTTAGGGTTTAGGGTTTAGGGTTTAGGGTTTAGGGTTTAGGGTTTAGGGTTTAGGGTTTAGGGTTTAGGGTTTAGGGTTTAGGGGAACTCGTTCACCCATTGGAATGCCTTGCACGCAGTGGGCCGTCCAGCAGCCACCCGAAGAGTGCGCATGAACGCCCCGGGGCACGCGGCCTCCTCTGCTCTCAGCACTTCGGTGCACACGCCGGCACGTCGTCTTCACACCGGAGAGCACTCCTCAGGCGACGACCTGCAAGAAAGGCTCTGGGTTTAGGGTTTAGGGTTTAGGGTTTAGGGGTTTAGGGGTTTAGGGTTTAGGGTTTAGGGTTTAGGGTTTAGGGTTTAGGGTTTAGGGTTTAGGGTTTAGGGTCAGCGACTCTTATATCAGATGACCCAAACACTCCAAGCTCAAGCCTCAGACCTTTCTATTGCGCTGAGGACCATATGAATCAGGACTCGCACAATCATGAAATCCCCACATCCTCGGTCCATTCCCAGACCTAAGAGTATTTAACCTAGGAATGAACCTAACCCCCCCCAAAAAAGGAATAAATGCCTCTTCTGGGTCCTAGATTCCTTTTGTCCCCTAAACCCTAAACCCTATAACTATACCCTAAACCCAAAAAACTAGCTCGGGCTGCCTGGCTTGGGTCCAACTCCGCAGCGCTTTCCACTAACCTCTCAAGGCCATGGGGTTCGTGGATTAGTTCAGGGGCTCTGGCGACCTAACCCGGTTTAGGGTTTAGGGTTTAGGGTTTAGGGTTTCGGGTTTGGGGTTTCGGGTTTAGGGTTTGGGGTTTAGGGTTTAGCCTCAAGGAACCTAGAGACACGGAAACTAGGTTTCGGGAAGAAGTCGACCAACAGCCAGCAGCCCTCCAAGGGCCTCCTGCCTGAGCACCTCTTCCTCCTCTCAAACCACCCCAAATCCCAAACCCTCTAAGCCCTGCAAACCCTACACTCCACAAACCCTAAACCCCACAAACCCAAAACCCTAAACAAGGAACCCTAAACCCTAAACCCTAAACCCTAAACCCTAAACCCTAAACCCTAAACCCTAAACCCCTAAACCCTAAACCCTAAACCCAAAACCCAAAACCCTAAACCCATAAACCCTAACCCTAAACCCTAAACCGAGATGTTTTCTAATAGAAGATCTGAATTTGGGCAAGTTGGCTCTGACATTCCTCACGCTCCCAACGCTGCTGAGGCGTGGGATTGCTGGCTCCAGCAGCCCCGGGTCGAACGGGGGGGCCATAGGGATTTAGGGTTTATGGGGTTTAGGGTTTAAGGCTTAGGGTTTAGGGTTTAAGGTTAAGGGTTTAGGGTTTAGGGTTTAGGGTTCACGGTTCCGTGTGCGTCCTTGACTTGCTGCTGCAGCTGCAAGAGCAGCCAACCGAGGCCCTAAGCCACAGACCAAACCCTAAACCCAAGCCCTAAACCCCAAACCCGAAACATTAACCCTAAACCCTAGCCCTAAACCCTAAACCCGAAACCCTAAACCCCAAACCCTAAACCCTTAAGTCCTCCGGCCTCTCTAACTCCGCCATCTCCGCAGCTGGGAGCTTCGTGCCCTCACCAGGAGGCAGGCCGCACATCATGCCCGGGTTTCAGGCTCGGTTTAGGGTTTAGGGTTTAGGGTTTAGGGTTTAGGGTTTAGGGTTTAGGGTTTCGGGTTTAGGGTTTAGTCGGTTGTCGGTTTAGGGTTTAGGGTTACATCCCAAAACTCTCATCAACCTCTCGGACATGACCTGCTATGCGGTCATTTTATTCAATTGCCTCCGCCCAGCTGGCATTCAGCAGAACAGTCGTCCATAGGAGGGTTGCTAAAAATTAGATTTTTAGCTGCCTTCTTAAGAAGCCCAATAAGCCAAAAAAGGCTAAGGATCAAAAGTTGCAGTAAAGAACCACAAAGTTTCCTTACCTCGAATCCCAGTACCCCACTGAGACACGGAGACACAACCGACACACTCTCCCTCATGCCCAAACTCAAGGCCTAGGCCGCCTTCCTACAGTGGGAGGGCTGCGCTTAAGCCTTGCGCGAGGGTTTAGGGTTTAGGGTTGAGGGTTTAGGGTTTAGGGTCCTACCTTCTTCCGGATCTCTTTCGCCACTTCCCGCAAGGTCGCGATGTAGGTCTCGCCGATCTCCTGCCAAGGCATGAGGGAGCCTAGATTGGAATCCCTAGACCCTTGTGATGAAACCCTTTAAGGGGTTCAGGGTTTAGGGTAGGACCCAAGAGCAATCTAGGAATAAAGAGGGTCCCCTTTTTGGTTTAAAGAGGCGTATAACAAACCTTAAAAAAGAGGGGAAGGGGGCCTTTTGGGTATGTCCGATGGCCTGCACCCTCGGTTCAGGGATTTGTTTGCGGTTCAGGCCTTAGGGTTTAGGGCCTATGGGGAGAGGGGGCGGGGGACTGGAGGGGGAGAAAGCTTTCTCGACCTCCGAATGCACGGGGTGCTGTTTCGCTCGCTGCTACACTCATCCGCAAGGAGTTCCTTCTTGATTGCTGCCTAACAATGGAGCCGTGATTACAGGGGAATTGGGTGAGGTCCTCTTCGTCTGAAAGGTCGAGAGGGCAAATCACAAGCTTTGGGCGCAATACCCTAAACCCTAAACCCTAAACCCTAAACCCTAAACCCTAAACCCTAAACCCTAAACCCTAAACCCTAAACCGCGATGCCCAGAGCAAGAGGGGACCAAACCGAGCATCAAGGACATGCCACCACTAGCAGTTCTGCCTCACAGAAGACGTAGCGTCACGTAGACAAAAGGGGCCCAAGCACGTGCACCAATATTATCCCGTTGTAACGCGTAACAACCCTAAACCCTAAACCCTAAACCCTTAATATCCAGGGTTTCGCGGTCTTACAGAGTCCTTGGCGATACGCCGGCAATACTCAGAAAGATCCTCGCGCGTAAGCTCACCTGCGGGGCGAGCATCTGGGTTTAGGGTTTAGGGTTTAGGGTTTAGGCCGTTGGACCCTCCAAAGCCAGCCCTAAACCCCCCAAAATCACAAACACCCTGCACCCCTAACTTCCACAAGCACCAACTCTGGAATCTGGCCCGCAAGGCGCAAGCAATTTTTTCGTGCCCGCGTATTCAGAACTCTCTGAAAAGCATGTGTGTGTGTGTGTGTATGCATATAGACACCTAAATTCTAAAACCGCCTAAACCCTGAATCCTCAACTCTCCCCGGGAACAAAAACCCTTTTGCAAAAAGAAGAGGCAAAGAACGCAACCTAAAGCCTAAGAAAAGGGAATCAGGGCCTACTCCGGGTTCTCATACTTTGGGGGGTCTGGGTTTAAGGTCCCTAAACCCTAAACCCTAAACCCTAAACCCTAAACCCTAAACCCTAAACCCTAAACCCTAAACCCCAAACCCGACTTGCTGACATAAGGGCATGGGCCCGAAACCTTTGATCAATCTGGGAGATCCTTGGAGGCTTCAGGTACAAGCGAACTAAAAGGCCCTACTAAACCCCAAACCCCAAACCCAAAACCCCAAACCCTAAACCCCCAAACCCCGAAACCCCCAAACCCCGAAACCCCCAAACCCTAAACCCCGTACCCCAAACCCTAAACCCTACGTGCCCTCATTGCACGCCCCCCCCCCCCCCCCATCTCGCACTTCCGTCGCCTCCTGCTTCGCGCTGCCGGACCAAGGCCGCGGCCCAGGCAGAGCTGAGCCTGGACAACTCCAGGGGTAGTGCCCTGAGCCCGAAAAGCACCAAGCCCTGAGCCCTAAGCCCTGAGCCCTAAACCCTAAACCCTAAACCCTAAACCCTAAACCCTAAACCCTAAACCCTCAGAGAGAGAGAGGGAGAGAGAGAGAGACAGACACACGCCCTACATCACAAAGTTTAGGGTTTCAGGGTGCCTCTCCACTCTCGGTGCTTGCCAGGGCCGGGCCAGGGGCCTCCGAGTCTCGAGGACATGCCTAGGAATTGCCTTGGGTTTAGGGTTTAGGGTTTAGGGTTTAGGGTTTGGGGTTTGGGGTTTGGGGTTTAGGGTTTGGGGTTTGGGGTTTAGGGTTTAGGGGTTAGGGTCAAGAATGAGGGGTCGGAAATGGGTGGTAGAGTACAGCATGTCGGCCGCCGAACCCAGGGAAGGAGCGCGTCTCATTCTGGAAAGTTACATGTACCCTCAAACCCAGAGCCCTATGCAACTACATATGCATATACACATAGAGAAATTTGACATGGCATATGTATACGATATACATATATACATATATGTGTACAGAGGCAAAGAATGAAATAACTCGACCCAAGAGTAACGTAGGAAAAAAAGGGTGCCCGTTCTGCTGTAAAGGGGCTTCTAAGGGAACCTAGACCCTAACAAAAAGGGAATAACCCTACCCCGCTGCAGGCTCGCGGTCAAGTCACATGCATCGGAAGTTGCTCCGTGCAACGGGGCCCCAGAACGACGCCCTGGGCAACCAGGAGTGTTGCGATTGAGGGGGGCCCTAGGCGGGAGTTGGTCGCGTTTGGGGTTTAGGGTTTTAGGGTTTAGGCGTTAGGGTTTTAGGGTTTAGGGTTTATGGTTTAGGGCCCTCTTAAACAATTGACAGTTGCAGAAGAATTCCTTGTGAACATGCCCCGGCCCACAAGGGAGTGCTGGAGATGCCCAATCCTTCGCGTTTAGGGTTTAGGGGTCTAGAGGTTTTTGGTTTAGGGTCTAAGGTTTTTAGGGTTTTAGGCTCCGGAAGCTGCAATATGAAACACAAAGAAACTCTGAAGCCCGAACCGAAATTGCAGGCTTTCTTTGCATTTTGGCAAGCCCTCCGCTCACTCTTCTAGATGCTGCGTCTTTGCTATGGCTGTGAGATTAGGGTGCATGTTTGTGTCCTGAGCCCTATAGCCTTTGGCCTTGAAGCCTAAATTATAGGGTTCCTAAGGGAGGGGGGTTCAAGGGGGATATGTAACCCAAGGTTCCTTACTCCCTAAGCTTCCCAAAGCTACCCCCTTTGACCCCCCTTCCCTTAAGAACTCTATAACTAAACCATACAGCCTAACGCCTAAACCGTAAACCGCCTAAACCCTTAAACCCTAAACCCTAACCTCTGGCCCCAGGCCCGAAAACACCCAGCCCATCCCTGTCTCCCCAAGCCCGTACCCCACTGAGGCCAGGGCTGCGTGCAGATCCGGCAGCGTCCTGCAAGATTCACAGGAAAGCCAGCGGTTTGTAGCCGCCATTTCTGCAAGGGCCCGAAGTCTTAAGAGCTTTAGGGTACCCCTAACGGGTTTAAGGTTTCCCGCAGGCTGTGAAAAAACCTCTTATGTCAGATAGTAGTGCTTTACGAGCCCTGAGCAAAAACGAAAAAGAGATGGGTGCATTGTAAAATTCTCCTGACACTTTCGGGGACTACTTATACCTATACATATGTGCATAACATATGGAGAACTTAATGCGGCACTTCCATGCTAAGGACCAGGAAGTCAAGGCTCTCCTGAAGTCCCAAACCCCAAACCCCAAAACCCCAAAACCCCCCAAAACCCCAAACCCCAAACCCAAAACCCCATACTCCAAACCCCAAACCCCTGGAACAGATTGCGCCCGAGGGTTTCTGGGCCACCTGGAATACCTAAACCCCTAACCCCTAAACCCCAATACTCAGGGGCTCCTCGCAAGCTCTCGGCGCCGGACGACATAGTCCTGAGGTTAAGGGTTCAGGAGTTTAGGGTTTCGGGTTTAGGGTTTAGGAGTTTAGGAGTTTAGGGTGTAGGGATTAGTTTAGGAGTTTAGGGTTCAGGAGATTGGGAGTTTACGGTTTAGAGCAGCCATAGCTGCTGTCATGAACCATGGGGACATCAAGGCACCCGATTCCGAAACCCTAAATCCCAAACCCCAAACCCCAAACCCCAAACCCTAAACCTTAAACCCTATACCCTAAACCCCAAAACAGGGAAACTGCCGAGCGACCCTGGAGATGTTTTCGAGGAACAAAGGGGTGAGCCTAACAAAACATGTGATGTCCAGGCTGCCTGTGGCGGGTTTAGGGTTTAGGGTTGAGGGCTGAGGGTTTAGGGTTTAGGGTTTCGGGTTGAGGGTTGAAGGTTTAGGCTTCAGGCACCTCCTCATTTCAGCTACCAGGCTATATCGGGGACCTCTTGCATGATTTTTAGGAAAAAACACAAGTCAAGGGACTAGTCGGGAGACCCTTATAAGGGTCACTTAGGGGCTACTTAGGTACATAGCGGACTGTATAAGGTATGTATCGGAGGATTTAGGGGGAATAAGATTCAGGGTCCCTTCTCGGGGTCCCTCCTCATACCCCACAAAACAAGATAACACAGAACCCCCACCCCCATCCACATGACACCAACAGGGCTTTTGAGTAGCTCTCACATTTGATGTACAAATGATACGGGGAATCTCATAAGCCTATCCCCAAAACACCCTTTTGGGATCAAAAGGGCCCGGATATTTTGGGCCTACAGCACTACTTGGAGGTTCATGGTACTTATTGACCAGTTATAACTGCACTTAGAGCCCACTTTTCAGCCCCTTAAGTGCCCTAACATGGTTATAAGCACAGTACAGTTCCATTAGTTGCTAAGTACCGTGAACCTCCAAGTGCAAAGTTCAGGAACCCAAGACGGTCTTTGGGGTTTAGGGTTTCATTATGGTCAGGATTTGGGCAGTTCTCTAAGCTAGGGTCCTTTTTGGGGTCCTTATTCCAAGGGTTGCGTATGATACAGGGGACCCAAAAAAGGGACTCGAGTTAGGGTCCCTGTTTAGAGAACTACCCCTTTATGGTTTAGGATTTAGGTTTAGGGTTACGTTGAGTCCGTGGGGCACTCTCCAGAAGCAATCCGCGTGCAGGACGTGGTGGCAGGACAGGACGACCAAGCTGCCACGACTTTTGCGGGTTTAGGGTTTAGGGTTTAGGGTTTAGGGTTTAGGGTTTAGGGTTCGGGGTTTAGGGTTTACGGTTTGTTTCGGCCCTGGGATCCGTAAAATCTTGATTCCAATCTACCCAAAAATCACAACCCCTCACATCACGACCCGAAACAAATAAGAGTAGCCTAGGGTTGAAAGGGTACCCTTTTCTGTCTAACGAACCTGATAAGGGCACCTAAGCCCAACAAAAAAAGGGAACAAGGGCCTACTCTGGGTCCTAGCAAACCTGGCCGACCTGCAGCACTCCGGAGTCCCGATTGGTTTAAACCAGATAACATGCTTGCTCTGCAGGGTCCCCACGCCCTGGACACTTCGTCCTAAGCCCCAAGCCCTAAGCCCCAAGCCCCAAGCCCCAAACCCTAAACCCTAAACCCTAAACCCTGAACCCTAAACCCTAAACCCTAAACCCGCCCGCCACCCCACTCTCTTGTCTTTTGGGGTAGGCGGGCGGTGGTCGAGCGCTCAGTGAGACCCTGCGAGGGAGCGTCAGGCGGGCGACCGAGCTGGCCTCCAGGCTGGCTTACCCTCCAGGCAGGCACAGCCGAGTCAGCAGTTGTCACTGTATTATGTTATATTGCCCGGACCAGGGGCCGTTCCCTTTTTTGGTTGGTTTGCGGCCCTGGCCCTGGCCCTGGTCCTGGCCCTGCCCTGGCCCCTGGCTCCTGGCCCTGGTGTGTGGCCCTGGCCCCTGACCTGCGCCCTGCCCCGGTTCGGGGGCCCTACCCCTGCCCTGGCCCTGACCCTGCCCCGCCTCTCTGGCCCTGGTCTTCGGTCTGGGTCTGCCCCTTCTGTGGCCCTGGCCCTGGCCTGTTCCAGTTTTCCCACTTACCCCCTTGCGCCAAGCCAAGCTGTCCGCACACCAGTTTATGTCCACGCCCGCCCTGCTTCCGGGGCGCTCAACCCAAGCTGTTCTGCCTCGCTTCCGTTTGCTGCAACTCTGTGCCTGCTGCACCTTGTGGAGGTCCCCAACCTGACCTGACCCTGGCCCGGCACCCCACCTTACCCCCTTCGCGCCAAGCCAAGCTGTCCGCCACACCAGCTCTGTTTCCGTGGCGCTCTGCCCAACCCAGTTGTTCACTGTGTGTTCTTCCGTGGCTTGAGCCCCTTCGCGCCAACCAAGCCTCGCTGCCTTTGTCTGTGCCTGGCCCATCCCCCCATAGCCCCTTCGCGCAAACCCAAGCTGTCTTCACGGACCCTGCCTCGTTTCCGTCTGCTGCAGCTTTGCGCCTGGTCCACGCACCTTGTAGAGGTCCCCAAAAAGGGCGTGAGTGCTGACTCATGTGATGCTTTGTAAAAAAAACAAAAGGTCTGAACTCCTTGAGAGTTGTAAGTGGGCGGTCTTGGGGTGGGTAGGTCTGCAGACTACCGCGCGCTCCCACAGCGCGCTTCCGTTTGGAACGCCCTAAACCCTAAACCCTAAACCCTAAACCCTAAACCCTAAACCCTAAACCCTTCGCCAAAAAAAGGGGGGTGCCATCAGCAGGGCACCACTGGGGTGGCCAGGATGATTCTGTCATCCGGAGCACCCGGAGGTTGAGGGTTTAGGGTTTAGGGTTTAGGCTTTAGGGTTTAGGGTGCAGGGTTTAGGCTAAGGGTTCCCGGCCTCCAACTCCAACCTCTTTCGGCCCCCCTGAAACCCCACCTCAACCATCCCGGAAACCGAAACGCCCCCTCCCCAAACCCCCCCTCCCCCCTGCTCCCCTCCCGGCAGAACAAAAAACCACACACGCCAGAGACCCCTAAACCCTCAACCCTCAACCCTCAACCCTAAACCCTAAACCCTGAACCCATTTCGCAGCACCTGTCTTGCGGCGTCCACTTCGCCAAGCAGATCGGACAAGGACCCTGGCGGCGTGGGCCCGCAGACTTAGCCCCTCCACAATAAAAACCCTAAACCCTCACAAGCCCACAACCGTAACAAGCTTTAGGGTTTAGGGTTTAGGGTTTAGGGTTTAAATAGGGTTTAGGGTTTAGGGTCGAGGGTTTAGGGTATCCCAAACCTCTAAAACAGCGCCCTCGGCACTCAGGTCGCTGCCTCCCTACACCCTTATCCCTGATAGCCTAAGCACCCTGAACTCAACGACCTGAAGCAGTCAGAAGCTGCGTTTAGGGTTTAGGGTTTGGGGTTTAGGGTTTGGGGTTTAGGGTTTAGGGTTTAGGGTTTGGGATGTAGGGTTTAGGATTTCGGATTGGGGGTGTCAGGTTTAGGGTTTCAGGTTCGCAGGTTCGCGGCGTCGACGCCTCAGGGTCGGCGTTGCACACGGCAGCTGCGGTGGCCTTTCTGACGGACTGCAACTCCTCGGAGGGACCTGACAACGCTCAAAGTGCAGGGTTCGGGGGTTAGTGGGGCCTTAAACCCTAGACTCTGAAACCATCAGAGCTTCGTAGAATTTAGGGTTCAGGGTTCAAAAGGTTCAGGGTTCAGGGCCTTGGTATGGGCCCGTAAATGGGGACTATAACACCCAGGGCCGTACTTCAGAACCCTTTACAGAAGGTAACCTAAACCCTAAACCCTAAACCCTAAACCCTAAACCCTAAACCCTAAACCCTAAACCCTAAACCCTAAACCCTAAACCCTAAACCCTAAACCCTAAACCGCAAACCCTAAACCCTGAACCCTAAACCCTAAACCCTAAACCCTAAACCCTAAACCCTAAACCCATTTTTCTTGCGGTTCCACACATCGGTAGCCCTCCCCCGCCCAGAGCAGCCAGAAGCCATGACTGGGTAGCCCAGTAGCCTAAACCCTAAACCCTAAACCCTAAACCCGAAATTGTAGTATTATTGCAATAAGGGCACCCCTTTTGGGGGTGCATTACTTTTGAAAAGGGAACCTTGAACCGGAAAAAGGGACAAGGGTACCACTGGCCTAAACTAAAACGTAAACCCTACTTGGCTGCACTTAGCAGGGTAGCTATAAATCTAATTTTTAGCAGCCTTCTTAAGAAACCCAATAAACCCAAAAAGGCTAAGGAATTAAAGTTGAAGTAAAGCACCACAGAGCCTCAAGCCCAACCCTAAAGGCCAAAACCCAAACCCTAAACCCTAAACCCCCAACCCTGAACCCTCAACCCTGAACCCTAAACCCTGAACCCCAAACCCTGAACCCTAAACCCTTGAAGTTCCGGTGCCGAGTCATGATGAGGCCCCCGCCATCTTTGCGAACGCAGGCGACGCTGACCTGGTAGCCGCAACCGGTCAAGCCGCGAAAGCCCCCCCCGAACCCTAAACTTCGGGTTTCGGGTTTAGGGTTTAGGGCTGAAGGTTTAGGGTTTAGAGAAACTTAGCCCCATTATGCACTGGCAGCTTAGTAGGGTTTCGGGTTTATCAGGGTGCCCTTTTTGGGCTTGGATACCATAACCCCTAAACCCTAAACCCTAAACCCTAAACCCTAAACCCTAAACCCTAAACCCTAAACCCTAAACCCTAAACCCTAACCGAGAACCAAAAAAAAGGGAAAGAGGGGTACCACTGGGCTCCCAACACGCCCTAGCGCTGAATGATGAACTTAGGGTTTAGGGTTTAGAGTTAGCCCCTTCAAACACACCGAAACCCCTTGACCCCAAACCAGCTCCTGTCAGGCCCTTAACAACCTAAAACCTACCCCTCAACTCTAAAATCAGCCGTGTTGCACCTTAATACTTAAACCCTAAACCCTAAACCCTGAACCCTAAACCCTAAACCCTAAACCCTAAACCCTAAACCCTAAACCCTAAACCTAAAGGTCCCCTCAATCTTAAACCCAACCCGAACCCTAAACCCGAAACACCTAAACCCTAAACCCTTAAACCCTAGATCCTAAACCCTAAGCCCCTGAAGCTCTGCACCAACGAACCCTGCGACCCGGCCGTCCGCTGTAGCACGGAGAAGAACCGAGGCGGCACCTCCCCGACAAGGGGGCTAGGGTTTAGGGTTCAGGGTTTAGGGTAGCAAGCCAAGCAACTTCACTGAAGGAATGGGGTCCGGGGTCGGGATTTGAAGTGTAGAGTGTAGAACTTTTCCTTTTTGCATTAGAGTTTAGGGCTTAGGCGATCCCATGCGCATGCAGTCTTGTAAGCTCATGGCCTCAGTCACGTCCTTCAGCTGATCCAGCACGTCTTTCGCATACACTCGACGTTGCTCCCAGCCTCATGCAACATAAGGTCCTAAACCCTAAACTCTAAAACCTCCACCCTTATGCCCTCTTGTGGGCCCCGCATCCCAGATATTCCACCCTAAAACCTGAAAGCCTAAACCCTAAACCCTAAACCCTAAACCCTAAACCCTAAACCCTAAACCCTAAACCCTGAACCCTACAGCCGCGCAACACCATGCTGGAGCTCGCCGCGCAGGATTTCGGGGTCAGTCCCCTAAAAGCCCTTAAGACATCCCGAACGTGAATACGAAACCCTACGTCATCCTCATCCCTCTCAAGCCCAAGGGTCCATGTACCTTCATTCTTTTAGGGTTTAGGGTTTAGGGTTTGGGATTTAGGGTTTAGGGTATACACTTCTTAGGGTTTAGGGTTTAGGGTTTAGGGTTCAGGGTTTAGGGTTTAGGGTTTAGGGTTTGGGATTTAGGATTTAGGGTTTAGGGTATACACGTCTTAGGGTAGTTGCATGGCCCCTAAGTATGGGCCCTAAAAAGGGGACCTCTTATGTACCGGCCATCTCGTGCTGTTGGCCGGGCCTGCATGGAACGGACCCGGCACTCCAGCGGCCCTCAACACCTCGATCATTCCAATGAAGCGACAGGTGGAAATCCCCCCTTTAGGGTTTAGGGTTTAGGGTTTAGGGTTTAGGGTTTAGGGTTTAGGGTTTAGGGTTTAGGGTTTAGGGTTTAGGGTTTAGGGTTTAGGGTTTAGGGTTAGCCTCCTGCAACGCGGCCAGTGCTTTCTCGTATGCCTCCTTGCATCGACTGGCGTGCTCAAGTAACGTCAGCCGCTGTTTCAGGCGAGCCTGGTAGTAAAAGGAATCCGGTTTGGGAGCTGGGCCTAAATCCAGAACCCTCGGCACTGACAGCTGGTAATGCGGTGCGGAAGAGCCCCCGGATCGCGGGATCGACACGAGTTGCTTGCAACCAATTTGAGGGTTTTAGGGTTTAGGGTTTAGGGTTTAGGGCTCGCTGCACGAACGTTGTGAACTGATACTTTCCAGGCGACGGGGCTTACAGGTCCAGAGGAATCTCTAAACAAAAACCAAACGGCCCATACTTCAGAACATTTTAAAGAAGGTCAGGAGCCATAGCCCCATGAAACTACCCTTAGAATACTTGGGGCCTGAAGCTGCTATATGAGAGCCCCTTTGAAGCCCAAGTATATGCAATATAGGTACATGGACATAGGGTTTAGGGTTTAGGGTTTAGGGTTTAGGGTTTAGGGTTTAGGGTTTAGAGTTTAGGGTTTAGGGTTTAGGGCAAACATGAAGGTGAACAAGCCAGCGACACCAAAGAGCTCAACATGAAAAACAAGTGGCGCCCCCTACAACGATGGAGCAGCTCTCGAATTTAGGATTTAGGGTTCAGGGCTTCGGGAATTTCTTGGGGCTTAGGGTTTAGGGTGTAGGGTTTAGGGTTTAGGGCTTAGGGTTTAGGATTTCGGGTTGCCGGGTCTTGGGGTTGCGGGGTGAGGGTTTAGGAGTTTAGGGTCATTTTTTGGTCCTACAATTAGTACGGCACCCTTACAATAAGAACCCAAGTAGGGGCCCTAACTTTTGTGAGAACCACCCGCTTAGATTCAGCAGGGCTAGGCAACAATGGGAGCCTCACACTACAGACCCCCCAGCTGGTTTAGGTAGGGTTTAGGGTTTAGGGTTTAGGGTTTAGGGTTTAGGGTTTAGGGTTTAGGGTTTAGGGTTTAGGGTTTAGGGTTTAGGGTTTAGGGTTTAGGGTTTAGGGTTTAGGGTTTAGTCGGTTTATAAGGTTTCGGGCACAATCGAGTTATTTGAGATAATGCTCTGCGGTAGGCCGCCTTCTCGCCCCAAGCGAGCTCGAAGTGCTCGGCAAAGCTCAACTGCCTTCGCAAGTCTTTATGGGTAGCTACATGGGGTTTAGGGTTTAGGGTTTAGGGTTTAGGGTTTAGGGTTTAGGGTTTAGGGTTTAGGGTTTGGGGTCCTTAGTATGGGCCCTTTAATGGGGACCCCTTATATACCCCTTATAAGGGCCCATACTTCGGAACCCTTAAAAGAGGGGACTCTGAAACTACCCATAGACTAGAGCAATGCAAGGCGACCGCGGCGGACTAAGCAAAGGCCGAGATGAGTAACAGCTTCATACATCACCGGAACTTTCGTTTCAGTGTCTGTATTCCACCTATACATATACACGTACATAAACAGAGGGTTTGGGACTCTCCTGAGCCCTCGTCCCACTTGCCTGCGTCGAGGGCTGGTTCCCCGGCAGCGCCTGACAATCACAGCGAGGTTTGTGGGCCTCTTTTGCATTCTGAATCTACGTGATAGTGCATTTCCGTATCGCCTAGAGTCGAGGCCGCCAAACAGGGCCATGAGGTACCCGCGTATGTGATTTTCTACCGACGCCAAACTCTACGGAGCTTCCTGCAACTTGCTTTGAAGCATGTGCTGCCAGTCTCAGGAAAATCACTCAGACTTAGACCCCAGAGCAGTGTAACATAGCGTTAGAGGCTGTGTAGTTTATCCTATATATGAGAACTATGAGGCCAAAGTTCTTGTAGCTAGTACTTATAGCCTCCTGTAGTATGTACGATGTCATGCACGGAGCAACGTGACCGGGCGGCCTCACTGTATAGCAGCAGGGAGCAGGCCGCCTACGGAAGGAGAGGTTCGCGAATCGGTCGGGCTAGGGTTTGGGGTTTGGGGTTTGGGGTTTGGGGTTTGGGGTTTGGGGTTTGGGGTTTGGGGTTTGGGGTTTGGGGTTTGGGGTTCAGGGTTTAGGTTTGGGAGTTTGGGGTTGAAAACAAGGGAAATGTGTGTCTCCGGACCCGGAGGATTCGGGCCCGGGCTTTGTGCGTGTGTAGGTGTGGTTTTTCTGATCTGCCGGAACAAAGCAGAGGTACACAAGCAAAACACGTCTCTCCCGGAAGACCTCACATTCTGCGAAGCCCTCCGGGCCCAAACACCATGCCTCCGAATCTGCTAATATGGGGGTCCTGAATAATTAGAATAGGGTTTTGGGGGTTCCTCTATCTTTCCGGTTTCTGTTGTTTCTACTCTACGAATTGCTTAAGAACCCCCCAAAGATATACAAGTATTCTTCATTGTTTCTACAAACACCAGCACAATTCTGAGATAAACGTCTGAAGCTTGACGTTGGACGTGCGGCTTCCCCGCCGCCGATGAAAAGTTTTACTAAAACCAAGTCTGGGATGCTGCGCAGGGACTTTGTGCGTGTGTAGGTGTGGTTTTTCTGATCTGCCGGAATAAAGCAGAGGTACACAAGCAAAACACGTCTCTCCCGGAAGACCTCACATTCTGCAAAGCCCTCCGGGCCCAAACACCATGCCTCCGAATCTGCTAATATGGGGGTCCTGAATAATTAGAATAGAGTTTTGGGGGTTCCTCTATCTTTCCGGTTTCTGTTGTTTCTACTCTACGAATTGCTTAAGAACCCCCCAAAGATATACAAGTATTCTTCATTGTTTCTACAAACACCAGCACAATTCTGAGATAAACGTCTGAAGCTTGACGTTGGACGTGCGGCTTCCCCGCCGCCGATGAAAAGTTTTACTAAAACCAAGTCTGGGATGCTGCGCAGGGCTCTTTGAGGTTGTGACAGACGCGAGGTCCTACCAAACATGTCTTGGCAAACGCACTCGCGTCCTCGTGCTCCTTGCTGGCAACTGCGATTGAAGCTTGAGCTGCGTTCCAACTATGAAACGCATCGACTGTCACGAGGCTGGTGGAAGAACTCAAAGAGAGGCAGAATAAGCACCAGGATTATAAGCCTTAAGCCCTAGAGATTCAGAAGCTCCAACTGTGAGCCCTAAGCCCCAACACCCTGAAGTCCTCAAACCCAAACGTAACCCTTCTTGGTTTAACCGGGCTTACAAGGGAACTTAAGCCCGAAAAAAACAAGATGGAGTATAAGGGCCTTGTCTGGGGTCCTAGAATCCGAAACCCTGAACCCTCAACCCCAAACCCTAAACTTTAAACCCTAGTCCCAAAACACTGAAGTCCCAAAACTGAGTCCCTCTGGGACTTCGAGCCACTGCATCTCTTCGACGCCAGCGCCGCGCGATGCCGGTCCTGGGTTGCTGGCTAGGGCTGAGGGTCTTAGCGTTTTAGGGCCGCTTGAACCCTAAACCCTAACCCTGAACTCTAAACCCTAGGCCCAAGTGGTGTTATGTGGGGGTGGGGGGGGGGGGGGGCAAGTGGCCAGCAGGACACCTACGAAGCAGTTAAGCAACGCAGGCATCCAAACAGGGTCTTAATTAAGGAATATCCCGTAAATTTTAATAGAAGCCCTAGTATGATTTAAGGTATATTCCTTCATGGAGCCCTAATGTGATTTAAGGTGTATTCCTTAATTCTGGGGATTTAGAGTCTCTGGGTTGGACTCTATTGAAGATCTGGATGTGGACTTCGGATCTTCAGCAGCAGCTGCTGCATTGCTAGTCACTACTAGTGCGACACACTTATGGACAGTGCGCGTGTGAGCTTCTACAGCAGCGAGCAGTTCTAATGGCAGCTAAAGTCAGGATTCCCTAGATTAGCCCTCACTAGGGTGCACAGGTTTAAGCCTTCCTTCGTTTTGCGAGGACATGGAATGGTGCCCCTGAAACATGTAAGTTCCAGTTCCAGCCAGCGGCAGCTCTGCCACGAGTTCGTTGACGGGAGGCTGGCCCTGACAGATGGATTTGTTGTAAAGCGAGGCACAATTCCATTTTGCTCTCTTAGGGTAGTTACATGGCCCTTTAGTATGGGCCCCCATTTAAGGGGGCCCCTAACATACCCCTTATATACCCTCTACGACCCAAGGGCCCATATATCAGAACCCTTCAACGGAGGTAAGGGACCATGCAACTACCCTTAGACCTCTCCTGGGCTTTGGGCATAGGGTTAAATTAGGGCTCGTGGGTTTCGGATTGGAAGGCATCCTGCAAACAAGTCATAGCGAAATGTGCTTGGACTGTGACGTCTCAATGTCAATGCTACACTGTTCCGGCAACACAATACAGCAACTCCAAATCTCTCCAGGCGTAGCTCAGGGCACCCAGCGGGTGACAAAACAAGCAAAGTCTTTGAACAGATGTTGGCCCTCTGTCCTAACCCTAAACCCTAAACCCTAAACCCTAAACCCTAAACCCTAAACCCTACGGTAGGCTTCAACTTTCAACACCTCGAACATGGCCGTCTTCCTCAGCTGCACCCTTCCCAATGAGCCCCAAAACCCCTCACCTAAGGAATATACCCTTGAATCATGACAGGGGCCTTAACTAGGATGTCCCTTAAAACCTGCTGAAAAAAAACATTCCTGAAGATGAACCTCTTAGACCCAGTAGGGGAGAATGCAGAATGTCCCAAAGCCCTACCGAGCTAATATGATCTAAGGTACATTCCTTCATTTGGGGTTTACGAAATTAGGGGTACCTTCTTGGGGTCCTTCTTACACGGGAATCCTCTTATTTGGGGGTCTATACTAGGGCTTCCGTTTTTTCGTAAACCCTCTTGTGGATTGAAGGTGTGTTCCTTCATTTAGGGGTATTGGGCTCTCTAGGTTGACTCCCGCCTCTTGCAGAGTTGCGACATACCTCGCCACCAGGCGCTCTTTGACCCTCCTTCGCGGACATCGATCCGAGTAGCACTAATGGGGAACCTGAATAATTAGAATAGGGTTTTGGGGAGTTATTCTCGTAAAAGTCTAATTATCAAAGGGACCACGAGGGAATAATACTAGTATATATTCCGACCCCTATAGTACACCTGCCCGACGTGGCGCCCTAACTCCGCCATGGGCCAGGTAGGGATATTGATACAGAGGCCGTCCGAAGAACCCCAACCCCTACATCTCGAAATGCCCTTAAAAACCCCTAAATTCTCTGAATCTCTAGATTAAAACAAACTTGAAACCGGAAATACCATCATGACAGGGCTTCTGGACTCAACCGACCCTTAGCAAAAGGACCCCTAAATTGCCTTTTGAAGTCCTATACTAGAATGCGTAGATGGTAGTGATGGGGGTCGTAAGGTAGTCATCTATCTGATGCACATTTAGGGGGACTCCGTCCTTATCATTAGCGGCACGCGGCCGACTAGCGTGAAGTCACGCGCAGCTTGAGGGATTCTGATCTATTGGGGTATAGTATAAAGGTGGGAAATGCCCATTTTACGAGTTCTGTTTCAATAGGACACTGATGCCCAGCGCCTGCTCGCTGTAGAAGACCCATCATGAAGGTGTGGGCCCCCTTGTTTTCCCCTAAACGGCCTAAACGGACAAGAGGATATCCTGCACGATGCGGAGGAGAAACCCCGCAAGGGCCCCCCAACAGCCCCCACACCCTAAACCTAAACTTAACCCAATCCCAGGGTTTAGGGTTTAGGGTTTAAGTTTAGGGTCTAGGGTCTAGGGTCTAGGGTCTAGGGTCTAGGGTCTAGGGTCTAGGGTCTAGGGTCTAGGGTTTAGGGGGTTTAGGGTTTAGGGTTTAGGCTTAATTCAGCGTCAATCAGCCAAGCTTCTGCCAGCGCTGCCTGCGCCACAGTTGGCGGACGAGGCGCCTCGAAGGTGCCTCTCTCTGGAGGTCTGGGGGGCTTTAAACCCTAAACCCGAAACCCGAAACCCTAAACCCGAATTACCCTAAACCCCAAACCCTAGGTATACCCTAAAGCCTAAACCTTTTGGGTTTAGGTTGTAACCCTCAACAACCAGTACAAGAGTTCAGGGGCTGAGGGCCTGTTGAGGGTGTAGGGGAAGGTGAGGATTTGGGCAGCCATCCGTATGAGTACTGGGGTTTAGGGTTTAGGGTTACCTAAATTAGGTTCCCCTTTTTCGGGGCCTGAAAGAACACGCACCCTTAGAGTCAGGTCCCGAAAGCGGGACCCTAACCCTAAACCCCAAACCCTAGACCCTAAACCCCAAACCCTAAACCCCAAATCCTAAACCCTAAAGAGAACTACCCTACTACCGAGGCATGGTGGTTTTTCTCGGCGCCGCGAAACCTGTAATGATTAAGACTCATGACGCCTTTTATCCACAAAACCTTCAACTTTAAACCCGGAAACCTCAAAAACCCTAAACCCCAAACCCCAAACCCTAAACCCTAATTACATCCCAAACCCGACTCCTACCTCCTAAGCGCCCTAAACCCTTAGCCTTAACCCCACACCCTAAACCCTGAGCCCTAAATCCTAAACCCTAACCCCTAAACACCTGACCCTGACGCAGAAGACCTTGCAGTTATCCCCAGGCCCTAACACTTCAGGCCCCATCACACTCTGCACGGTCCGCCTCGGAACAAGCTCTGAAGCCCTGAAACCCTGAAGCCCTGAAGCCCCGAAGCCCTAAAACCTAAACCCTAAACCCTAAACCCTAAACCCTAAACCCTAAACCCTAAACCCTAAACCCTAAACCCAACCCTGAACCCTGAATCCTAAACCCTAAA